CTATAGGTCTAATAGGGTAGTTTCCTAAATTTTATTTTAATGTCCGTCTGGTACATTAATTTAAAACTTTAGACACGTATTTTTTTTCATTTCTCACAAAATTAAATACTTTCGAAATTATATTAATTTGAAATATCGTGTGACGACACAGCGTGCAGCATTTTGTAGCACGTTATGACGTAAAGACTTCCCACTCCTAAAATTAGTGCCATTTTATCTAAGTATTGCAACTTAATACGAGAAAATAAAAAAAATAAGTTTCTAACTACGTAACTGACGGACTAATTAGATTTTTAATTTTAATACCCTGGAAACTACCCAATTACATTTTATGCAATAATTCTTATACTTAGCTCATTTTTAATTTCAGGATGATATGGAAACAGAGCATTTAGCGACACTGGAGCGACTGCGGCAGAACCAGCGAGCAGATTACTTGTCAGGCAGCGTATCTGGCAGTCTACAGGCTACTGACAGACTTATGAAGGAACTGCGGGACATATACCGTTCCTGCTCTTTCAAGAACAATATGTACTCTATTGGTATGTACCTTAAATATTATAGTTATTTGTTCTCTCTCGAGATTGACGGTGATTACTTCACCGGTGACAGCTCTCCACCAACTACATTATAGACCTTATTTCCAATGTTTAGAGACTACTTTTGTATGAACAAATTTAGGGGATGATTTTCAACGGGTACCAGGCGGCTAGCAAACGTGTAATGGATTTAGAGATTTATTTAACCTTGGTCCTGTTCAGTTAGTCAAGAAAGTGATTCATAATAAAAGGTGATGAAACTCCGATCCTTTTATATGCATAAGTGCATAACTATGGGACTCCCATTTGACGATAATGTTTTCCGTGTACTTACTTTTGAAGATATAAAAAGATGTTTAACCCGTCATGTGACACATGACGGGTTAAACATCTTTTTATATCTTCGTATACGTGAATCCACATGAGGCTCAATGTATGTTCTATTGTGTCTCTTATACAGGCATTCAAGCGGTTAAAAGATATTCTAACCTCTTGTATGTCGGTATTTAAGACATAATAGAAAAAGCATTGTCTCGCGTAGATCTATACCAGAGGTTAAAGATTCGCTCAACTCCATTAACATAACTGGCAACATACTCGTACTTTGTTACTTTAAACTTTTGCGAAACATATTCATAGTGCACACAATTTGCATTGTCAAAGTGTCAAACTAAGCTGACAAACGGTCCATAAAATAGTTCAATTGAGTTCACTCTGACCTCGCGACCTTCGTACAATTATAGGCTATTGACGTTGCATCCTATTGTACTTCAATAAAATGACTGCCAGGCTTTTTACATGTACATATGTAATTATCTATTATTATGTAGAATATTCTTTAGTCAGTAGTCAGTTTCTATTTGACAAAGCGCCAATTTTTCACGTTTTATTGGGATACCGGTTTCCGAGGCCAAAAAAAATCAATTATTTTAGTTTTTGAATTGAATAATTGATTTCATTTTAGTTTTTTAATTAATAAGTGTGCTATTCGATGCATAATTTTTATGACGTCATAAGTTGGTATTTCATACGAAATTCATACAAAAGTATCGTTTTTGACATTTCCAAAAAAGTATTGAATTAGTTGACTAGTTGGCAACTACTGTGTTGTATAAACTAGGTACACACGGCTACACATTGAGCTTTACATAACCAGTATAAACTGAACGTTAAATGTGCGGAAAGATGATGCGACGCGACACCAGGATAAACTGGTTTTGTATAAGTTGATGTGTGGCCGTATGTACCAGGTAATATTCCAAAGTTTTGTAATTAGAGTCAATGTAATAATAATTTTTTGTAGTGAAGGTCAATGGTAGCAAATTCAATTACTTTTATTTATTTTCCGATTGTGACTGCCTTCTCTGGATATAATTTTACTATGTTGCATTGCATTCTTCAACATCATATATATTTTATTCTGTTGACCGCAATTGTATGGTAACCGAACCCCTTTGACGCATCGTCGCTCATGCAACCGCATTGGTAGCATCCTATAATTATTTAATGTGCAATCTACCACATCGTGACTGGATGGTTAGACGAAGATTGATGCAAAAAGCTGCCGTTATTTGTATTAAACTTCGTATTCTTCGTAGTTATCGGTATAGATGGACGATTTTAGAAAAAAACGATATCTTCTTTAATTCAGTTACCAGATATTAATTTATCATTAGTAAATAATTTTTGCCTAGTTGGCCGAGTGGACGCAAGTGCGACTGCCCGGACAAGGGGTCTCGGGTTCGATTCCCGGGTCGGGCAAAGTACTACTGGGTTTAAAAAAAAATTCAGTAGTAGCAGAGTCTGGAAATGTGCCTGGTATATGGCAATAGGTTCACTCCCTATTATATGGGACTTATAACATAAATAGTGAAAAGTGTCTGTTACATTATACGGTGGCATTAAGTGCCGTAATGTGCACCTCTGCCTACCCCTTCGGGGATAAAAGGCGTGATGTTATGTAGATAATTTTGACCGTTAAAAGAGGATTTGATTGAATTAAAAGTGAAAGACAATAGTACCTAAGTGTTATTTCTTAGAAATCAAAGGATGTATAAAAATATTTGGGTGCCATTAAAGAATAAAAAAAGAAATGTCTGAAACTGTAAAAAAAAAACACTTAAATATTTTGACACCTACCACTTCTCTACAGTTTACCAACGAGTTTACATTATCAATTATATTTTGTCTATTGCAGAACTAGTAAATGATTCCTTGTACGAGTGGAACATCAGACTGCGTTCCGTGGACCCAGACAGTCCACTCCACAATGATCTGCTTGTGCTGAAAGAGAAAGAGGGCAAGGACTCAATACTGCTGAACATCATGTTCAAAGAAACATACCCATTTGAACCGCCTTTTGTGAGGGTTGTCTACCCAATAATATCAGGTAAATAACGGACTTACTTTCACTTCACAAATCAATTAATCACTAACAAAATGCATGGGGCAATTCATTTTCTTCATTATTTTTTGTAATACTTCTTTTTCGTTGAATTCATATATGGATATCATCTAATATTACATGGCCAAGTTACAGCCTAGCGGTTGGGGCCCGTGTTCACTCGTCTGCTTGCCGGTGATGGATATGGTTTCAGCGAGCACATTATTATTGGGTATATTTGTGGTAACTAACATTATCAGGAACATTTCATCACTGATTTTAGGATGTGCATCATACAGATAATATCATTGAAGTACATTTACGTCTTCTTCCAACCCCACTCTTCTTGCGAAACTCTTTAGAGAGAGAGACTAAGGGATTACGTATCTAACACAGACAGGGCAGCAGTGTTGCCCAATAAACATGTTCTGTGAAAGTGTGACAGAAAACAGTTTCGTGTGAGTGAGGTTACCGGGAGCCAAATTACCCCCTTCTCCAGTCTCCCCAATCCCTGAATCCCCCACAATCCTCAAATTCCTAATTCCCGAAAGGCCGGTAATCAATTTATAACGCCTCTGGTTTTTCGGGTGTCCATGGGCGACGCGAATTGCTTACCATCAGGTGATTCGTCTGCCCGTTTACCATCTTATCCCATAAAAAAATCTTTTTGAACTGCGTTCTCCACCTCTAACCAGGTAGAGAATATGGCAAACCCCTCTTGTAGAGGAGGCATATAACCTCTCCTGACCTGTACATGATTGAATTTCTTACCGAATTCTTTTTATCGAATTTGCAGGAGGCTACGTATTAGTTGGTGGAGCAATATGCATGGAGCTCCTGACTAAACAAGGCTGGTCCTCGGCTTACACTGTAGAAGCCGTGATAATGCAGATAGCTGCTACCCTCGTGAAAGGCAAGGCGCGAATTCAGTTCGGCGCTACGAAAGTCGTGTCCCAGTCTCAGTACAGTTTGGCGCGCGCACAACAGAGCTTCAAGTGCCTCGTGCAGATACACGAGAAGAATGGTGAGATTGTGTATTTTCTGTTGTATTTTTGTATTTTTTATTGTTTAATTTGTCAAGTAAAGATAGTGTTAGATATTACCTAATCTGAGCTTATCATGCAGTATTTTATTAAATGTTTAATTTCGTTATTTTTGAGTATTGAAGGCATTCGTAAATTTCATATGTGATTGTTTCCAATTATGCTTTAGAAAGTGTCCTATAGTGTTAAAGCCATTATATATACATATTTAGCTAAAGTTATAATTACTTTGATCAAATAAATATTCCTATCCTAATATTTATGGCATTAATTTCGCCTTATGTACCATTGTGTAATCAAATTGTGTACATTAAAGATTAAAGCCTTTGACTGCGGACAGAAAAATATTGAAGGCAAATCCTCCGCTATCGTAGGTCGACGGTGACCTACGCGGCGGTTAGCGTGTTAAATAAATAAATATTTCAATGTACATTCAGGTGACTAACATACATTCTTTCCGTGTCATTTCCAGGATGGTTCACACCACCGAAGGAGGACGGCTAATGCAAGCCACCTCCCTGCCGTTACATTTAAGACTAAACGTGCAACATTGACGGTAACGCCCAAACAACAAACAACCACTCCAAATTTGATAAGTGACTATGAGTTTGCGTGAACTTTGCATTATGATTCCATTATGATGTTCGTTTATTATTGAGACGCAATTATGTATGTGTTAAGTATGACTGAGGAACTTCGACGATATCGCGAGTATTGTACGTGTATGTAATCGTTAAGTGCTACTGTTCTGACAGTGCGGGCGTTCGCGAGAGACTATACAAGACTTATAGGAAATGTTTAACTGTGTAACGTTTTTGTAATCATTAATTTTCTCAGAAAAGTTATCCATATGGTAGCCTTAGACGTTACTGGAGTGTAAAGTTGAAAAATTCTTTGCATTTCTTTTTAGTTATTGAAATAAAAAACCTGTGATTCTTATACTGTATTTTGTTTTTGGAAACCCTGCTTTGAACCTTGTAATATAAATAGCTGGATTTATTTAATAATATTAATGATTAATGATACAAAATATACATTTTATCTTATGTCAGTTTCGCTGTTTTGATTTTTCAAAATCTCAGTAAAAATCTCCTTTAACAAACCTTTACCATTATAATACTTTATCATAAGATTATATCTTAGATTTTTGGTGAAACTTAGTATTTGCCATCAAAGCCTTCAGTCCATCGGAATGTTCTTTGCCGCCGGGAATGTTGATTCTTATACAATAATCCTGTTTATTCATATTGTTGTACCATTGTGTTAATTTGGGGAATCTGAAAAATAAGAAATTTTTATAATGAAATGATTAGGTCCTAACCTCAATCGAGAGAAACTTAACAAGTCGGACAACTGCTTATAATTTACCATCGGGCTAAAAATAAAAAAGGGTCTGAGCGGTGCCTTATACAATAAAAAATAAACATTGAATAAATTACCAGAATATAAAGGTAAATGATAATGGTTCCGAAAAAACAAATTAATCTCCAGCGATTTGTGGCCGACTATAAAAATGGATCTTCGAATAACAAAACTAAACTTCCGGATAGAATACTGAACCTCCGACAAAATTACTAAGTTACCGACAACAGACGATTTAGGTTAGGTTAGGTTAGTATTATAGCAATGTTTATTTTTCGAAGATTTCAGTATCTCATTCGGTCGTTTCGTCAATTTTATTCGGAGAAAAGTAGTCGGAAAGTTAGTATTTTAGGCAGTAGATTTAATGTTTTGGGTAAGGACAATCCTTCTCTTTTTATTGGAGCTTTTATTACTACCCGAATATAAATAACAATTCTTATAAAAGGTGTTGAACAAACCTTTGTTCATCAATTGCAACTAATCCAACCAGTGTTGCCATTGTAGAGGCTATGCTTAAATCCGCAATCGTAATGACTTCGTCGGCCACATACAAGTTCTCTGATAAATAATCTTCAAGCATTGCGTATGCGTCCACAATGTTCCTGATCATGCCTTTTGACATCTCTGTCAGTCTTCCCATGTATGTTGGTGCCTTAAAATAGGAATAGAAAAATCAGTTTTTGTACTTTATGTAGGAGTTGTGAGTAGGGTAAGTATAGAAAAATAATATTAAACTGTCAAACACCAAGCGGTCACCGGTGACCGCAACCTATTGTTCTATAATTGTCTCTACAAAACCGGTACTCGACGAGTTAAAGAAGTTTAGGTGAACCTATGAAGGTTTGTGTTGCACAATGCTCCAATATTCCCTTAACCTTTCGCGTCTAAGACGTGGATCCACGCGAGGCACAGTGTATTTTCTATTGTGTCTCATATATGGACATTGAAAAGGTTAAACGTTGCGGCGAGCGTCGGGCAATGCTGCTCACATCTATGAGCCCCTAGCGTGGCTTAAAATTAGTCGGGTTACCTCGTCAAATGTGGTGTGGTAAGACGCAAAACAATAGGGCAGTTTCCTAAATATTATTACCTCTATAATGTCCGTCTGGTCCATTAAATTAAAACTCTAGACACGTATTTTTTTCACAAAATTAAATACTTTCAACTTATTTGAAATATCGTGTGACGTCACAGTGTGTCACATTTTGTGGCACGTTATGACGTAACGACCTCCCCCTAAACTTAGCGCCATTTTATCTAAGTATTGCCACATAATATGAGAAAATAAAAAAATACTGTCTAATATTTTTTCATTATCTAACCGACGGACTATTTAGATTTTTAATTTTGATACCCTGGAAACTACCCAATTATTGTTTAGTTCTTTATATTGGTAAAAATAAAGTAAGTACCTACTTTATTTAAAAGCTTACCATCACAGCTCTTAGTCTTTGGAACAGGATCCCACAATCGAAGAACAGCCTCTGATGAACAGTGGCGCGCTTTCTGCTGTCAGTCGGGTACAACTTGGAATGTTCTGGTTTACCATATTTTTCTATTAAATAAATCATAATGGCGTGGCTGAAAAAAAAAATTGCTTCAATTATTTTATGAACTCTGTCGTTGTTACAATGACCGGGGGAACGACAGTGAGCAAGGTGAAAATTGACGGTTATTTTTTTTGACACCATTATGAAGTGGATACTAACGTAACCGAAGACAGAACAGATTAAGACATAAACCACATCACGCTTTTTATCCCTAAACACCTATGCATATTACGGCACTAAGGTAATGCCACTGTACAATTAACACCCACTTTCCATTATTTATGTTATGAGTCCCATATAATAGGGGGATCTATTGCCACATACCGGGCACAATTCCTGACTCCGTGCTATAACTGGGAATTTTTTATAAACCTAGTAATATTTTTCAATCGAACTCGCGACCCCTTGCCCGGTAGTCGCACTTCCGTCCACTCGGCCAACGAGGCAGTCAATGGATGAATGGAAAGGATTTCTATTTTGTTTTACTAGAAGGGTAGCATAATATGTATTTTTACCTGTCAGCCAACCAGAAGTCGCCTTCGTCTAACCAAGGGATGGTTCTCATGGGATTTTTCTGAAAATGTCACAAAATATACATAGTCAAAGTTTTGTTAAATTTTCGAAAACGTAAAAACATTAAGTTATCACTATTTATTTACGACTTACATTTATCAAGAAGTTGAGTCGAAACAAAACAGAAAACTAGTACCTACAAATTATTCGCATCAAGCACAGCGTGTGCTGAATAAATGATTTTTATTTCTTTCTTTCGTAGGGCCATGAAAAGCGTTACTTACCTTTACAAACTCTGGTGCATCTTGTTCTCGCAATACTGGATTCAAATTCCTCTGTTCAACGTTTATCCTTAAAATATCTATGACCATCATCACTGCTCTCGCTGGGGGACTGGCATCTGCTTTGTAGAGGATTGGCGGCATTTTTGCTATAAAAGAAAAATAACGAGGTCGTATCTTTGAAGATATGCAGGTAGATATTTCATGATCAGCAGTCTGCTATACCGATAGTCTAAAACTGGGTGCTTGAAACCAATCTCAATGTCAATGCAATTTCAATCCAATAAAGTCTCAATAATTATTCAATGTCACACTATACAACCACAATCGTAGCTGTTACAATAGCATTCAGAGTACGGAATATAAAGCCAAACTCAATACCATTTAGTTCAATATTCACGCAATAAGGATGCAATGGGCGCTAGTATTGCACCTCAAGAGTAAGAAATTTCACAATACCAATGTCGATCGATCGGCATTGAATTCAAGAGTAAGCCCACTGGTCTTTGGATCTTCTCTAGCATAAGAGTATTGCCACTTGACAGGCGGGAAGGTAAACATTGGTTACCTGTGTTGAGTGACGTGTAACTTCCAATTAGTTGAAAAGAAAATATCAAATTTTTCGATTAAGCACCGATACTATCCCAGCCTATTAATTGAATAGTATAGGATGAACCAAGTCCTCCTACGGAGTGTAAAGGGTAGGTACCTACAGTTATAAAGTTGAAGTTTATCCTGGTATTTTTAGTTAAAATAGGTACTTAAGTAGCTAAGTGCCTAATAAACAATTTATTAACGGTGCGTTTACTTAACAAAAATCATTCTGAACTTTGTACCTACATCTATCTATTTGCTGTACGAAGTATAATTGTATTTTTATCTACGTACAGTAAATATATTAAGATAAAATGATTGATAAGTTTGCCAAAGGTCAATTTGAAACATTAGGAATGATTTCAAACATTTCTATCTCTTAAATACCTACCTACATAACCTAGAAATCTAGTCTTAGACTTGGTGGTAGAAAAATAAACAAAATACAACGAAAGGACATTGAATTATAAACAGGTTTTCCCAGAACTGAATTTTATTTTTATTTGCTTTATAATCTGTACCTAAGTAGGTACTTAACTATTACCTACTTTTACAAATTGTTCAATAAAAAAGCTTAAACTTACCTTATTTGTCTTATAAAATATTGTCAAATTCTTAAATTAAAACTCGTAAATAATGTTAAGGTTTTTTAATTCACAAAAATACACTTCACTTCAACAGTTATCAGTTTTGTTTGCATAAAATATTTGAGGGAGGTCGTTGTCATTTTGTTTATCTGTTTTACAACAGCTGATAACTTAATAGTTTCTATTAAATCTAATAGATAGCAGCACATGAACGAAAAGTAAAATATTTATTTTCAATTTGGGATTTTGTGGGAACTTCTCTTATTCAAGGTTTGGTGATGAATCCTGGTTCAGTTTTTTTTATTTTGTGCCTTAAATAAGATAAAGAAACAAGTTATTATTCCTAATTAAGTAATTGCTTGTTAATTGACGAACGAAGTATTCTCATAATAATTGTGTTATCGAACTTCAAAATGTTTATTCGCAATACTGTATTATTTATTCTTACGTTATCTCTGAATAACCTTTGGCCTAATATTTATTTGTGGCTTATGAAGTAGGTGCAACCAGCTATGTCACCAATTTCGTACCTATATATTTTATTTTCTTAATAAACATAATATCATGCCTTTTATCCCCGAAGAGGTAGGCAACTTATGGCACTTAATGCCACTGTACAGTGTTACACCCACTCTTCACTATTATGTTATAAGTCCCATGTAAAAGGGGTGAGCTTATTGCCATGTGGGTACCGAGCACAATTCCAGACTCCGTGTTACTACTGAGAATTTTATTTTAAAAACTCAGTAATACTTTGCCCGACTCGGAAATTGAACCCGAGACTCCTTGCCGCCGCACTTGCGATCACTCGGCCAAAAAGTCTTTTTATTTTTATTATTCAAGCAAGAAGACGAGTATGTTCATCATTTACAAAAATATAAAATCGAATTTCTGTCATCGGCGGCCTTGCGCGTATGTAGAGTTATATGTAGGTACCTATATATTAAGTGCTAGGTACCTATCTAAGATCTAACTACTGACACATTCGTTTGAAGGTCAGGTTTACAGTGAATTACCTACCATTTAACTTTTTTAAGGTGTAAATACCTAAGTATACCTATATTTTAGTTATTTGTATTTATTGAGTTAAGGGCTAGGAATTCGCATAAAATATTGTATTCTTGTAAATAATTATTTATTTACTTTTATTTACTTGCACATACTTTTATGAAAGGTAAGAACAACAACGCAAGGAAACAAAATAGCGCAGTGCCACCTGGCGGAATGATTCAAAAACTGCAAATCAGCCAGTGTTATAATTTCTATTTTTTTTTTAATAGGCCAGAGCGCCACAACCTCCCAAACCCACTGCAACTCCTGTAAGCCAGGAATCGAACCCGAGACCCTTTGCCCGGCAGTCGCTCGACCACTCGGCCAACGAGGCAGTCTCAGTCACTAGTAGGATGATTATAATTTATCTACCTACTTCTAATAAGATTACGAAGTCAGTAGCTAACCTAACTTATCGCAGCAACTCTTGTTTTTCATTACATCAAGGTTATTCAACAATGTTATTTTAATCTTGACCTTACGTAGCGTTAAAATGATGTGATATTGGTCATTGCCCTCGTACTTACATTGCTTTTCTTAGACTTATTCTTCAAACTTTGAAGCTTAACACCTTGCATTAAAATTGACAATTAATCTCTACAGATACATAATTATACTAAATTGGTATGTCTGTACGATATATATATCAAAATAATACTACAATTTTTGTCTGTCTGTTTGTCTGTTTGTACTGGCTAGTCTCTGGAATGGCTGGACCGATTTCAACGGAACTTTTACTTGCAGGTAACTAATGTACAAAGGAGTAACATAGGCAACTGTTATTTTAGAATAACGCAGACGAAGTTGCGGTTTTAGCTAGTTAAAGTTATAAAAATCAGTTTTTTTATGGAATAGGAGGCAAACGAGACGGATCACCTGATGGTAAGCGATCAGCGCCGCCCATAGACAGCCGCAACACCAGAGAAGTCACAGGTGCGTTGCCGGCCTTTTAAAAAGGAATAAGTACGCTATTGTCTTGAAGGTAAGGGAGATAGTAGACCATTGACGTCATCATAACCAAGTCGATGCTGTCAACTATTTCTATATATAGTTTACTTGACATTTATTTTCTTAATGGATAAAGAAATACTTGAATAAAAAAAATTGTACCTCAAAATATTTACCTGCCTACTCAATCTTTCTGACCAGCCATTATTCAGCACCATAGACGTCATTTTAGAAGATTACACCCACCCACCAGTAGTTTTGATTTCCAATTGAAAAAGTCGACCTTTTCTATCTGTCATCTAGACTTGGTCCACAGACCACCTACTCAATCAATATTAGTTTCATTTAGGTACCTATGTTTAGACTTTAAGTTTACAAGGAATTTTCTAGAAAGATCGTCATGATCTGGTGTTCACATGAACTTGATTCAGAATCTTGCTGAAGACTTAACGGGTTACCGGGGCTCCGGCTCGAAGGGCAGGAGTAGGAACGAGGTGGTTTTTAGTCAGTAAGAGTCTAACACTCCCCTCCCGCCTCACCCAGACGGGAGCAATCATTCGATGATTGTCCCACCTTAAAAAAAATAGGTACTTCTTAACCTCTTTCCTCTAAATTGAATATTTATAAACACTATTAAAAGAGGCCGTCGTTTTCACTCAATGATTCATAATCTCCTTGAAAAATACTAATGAGAAATCTTATAAATAAACCAGTTTCTAAGTTTTGTTTAATATATTTTACAGATAAAACATGAAAGAACTAATCTTCTAACAAAATGGAATAATTTACATATGATGGCCAGTAGGTCAATCTATCCGTTTCGGTTAAATTTCTCTATTACATCTTCAACTTTATTATATTAACATAAAGTCGAAAAGCGAATGAATGAATTTAGAAGTAATAAAAAGAGTTACACGTGGATTCAGTACACATTCATTTCCCGTACTATCTGTGATTATCTTTGATTGACCTATTACCTACTATTACGTCTATTGCCTAAATTTCTTTAGCCTTGAACAATAAAAGAAATAAATATATTTAGGTTTCATCTTTATGTAATAATAGCTATTCTGACATACTTAAATAAAAAAACAATTCCATGAAAAACATAATGAGAACTCGCTATCAACAACTACATTAATATATTTATCAAATCAAAACAAATTGTAGGAACATTAAATGGAACTAGAAAGTAGACTATACAAAATACATTAATTCCACAACAAAGTATTTTAGGTATATTAATTAAATACACTTATAATTATTAGATTCTTAACAATGAGTAATAAAAGTTTCCAACATTTGCAACACATAAAGAAAAATAATTACTTTTTATACACTAAGAAATTCTAATAAGGCACATTTGTAAACAGATAAGAGACCGATTCTGCGTAATGTGTACGTCTTATAGCCTCGGCTAGCATCACAGATATGTCAATAGTTTGTATCTTAGGGCACATCTTCATATTAGTATCCTGAGGGATCGTATTTGTTACTACGATGCCCTCGAGACATGAGTTATTAATCTTCTCAATAGCATTCCCAGCGAATACTCCGTGGGTCAGTATCGCGTATACTTTAGTGGCTCCGGCTTCACGCAATGCCTCGGCTCCCTTGACAATTGTATCACAAGTGTCTGCTAAATCGTCCACCATTATCGCTGTCCGGTTCTGAACGGAACCCACGAGGACAGTCGAATCGCCTTCGTGTGCTCTCTCCCTCTCTTTATGGATAATAGCAAAGTCAATATCCAGTCTGTCAGCGATAGCTGTCATTCTTTTCACACCACCGGCATCTGGAGACACCATTACACTGGTCTTCCAATCAGGAATGTTTTCCTTAATCCATTTTGTGATAGCAGGTTCAGCATACAAGTTGTCAACAGGAATGTTAAAGAATCCTTGGATTTGTGAGGAGTGAAGGTCAATTGTGATGACGTGGTCGGCACCAGCCACTGACACTAGGTTGGCGAGTAATTTTGCTGTGATTGGTGCTCTGCTCTTCTCCCTCTTATCTTGTCTGGAGTACGGGAAGCAGGGAACTACAGCTGTTACACGGGACGCTGATGCGATTTTACACGCGTTGATCATGATGAAGAGCTCCATAAGGTTGTCATTGATTTCTCCACAGCCACTTTGTACAATATACACATCTTCACCTCTGACTGATTCACCGATCTCAACATTGGTTTCCTTATTACTAAATTTCTTGGTTGTAGCTCTCCCCAAGTTGAGGCCAAGCCTGGCAGCAATCCTCTTCGCGATCTCAGGATGTGAGCTCCCGGTAAATACTTTGATGTTCGGCATTCTGGCACCAGGGTTGTTGAAACTTCTCTTGCGTGGTTCTTCTGTGGGTTCCTTCAACTCGTTCTCAGGTTTCATTAGATTCGTGTCGAAAGTGAAGACTTCCTTCACTGGCCGCGTTCTACCACAAAGTAAGTTGTTATTTGATGTAAATGAAGATTTATCTGAGTTCACTGTGACGTCAACTGGACATAATCTATGTCCCCAGCAATGGAAGTGTCCGCGGTCTTATCCATGATACAGTAAATACTCAAACACAAGTAAACACTGTCAGCTATACTTGTTTATTGATTGAGCCGTTGTATTACGTAAAAAGTACCGTCTATTACGAAAGCGCGTGTAAGAATAGAGAACGAACACACAAGACTATTCTACTGTGTTAAGATAAAGGGGTCGTGTACTGATCTCCCACTAATTGCATCATTGCCGATAAAATAATTGCCTACGACCAGTAACATTCTGTTTATGCGTTGGCATGGATACAAATAACAGTTGAATCGATAGCATTTTGTTTTTCTTGCCAAAAAATTGAAAGTATTTGATTCGTTGACGAATGTATGTACTTACACATCTTGTCTCTATATTAAATTATTGTGTGCAAGTAAGTAATTATATTTTATTTTGACAGTTAAGAAGCGTGTTTAGTGAGATGGGGCGTGGGATGTACGCCTGTCGTGTTAACTTAAGCGTGAAATGTTGGATTCTTATGAAAGACCTGTTTTATGGCAATCATGAAGTATGATTAAATTGTGCCTAATAGCATTTCCAGGGAATGAATCTGCGTAGGTATATTGACGGCCGTCTTCATCAATAACCCCTAGACCATCTCTTAACTAAAAGTTACTTAGCGTATCGTAGTTCCTAAACTAATAGGT